AGAGGGGCTGGGGGGTCACAAACAGGCAAAAAGCAGCTGGGGATACACAAACAGGCACAGAGGATCTGGGGGAGACAAACAGACACAGAGGGGTTAGGCTACACACAAACAGGCACGGAGGGCCTGGGGGCAGACAAACTGACACAGAAGGGCTGGGAAGAGACACACAGGCACAAAGAGGCTGGGGGGACTTAAACAGGCACAGAAGGGCTGTTGGGAGACATACACAGAGGGGCTGGGGTGAGACAAATAGACACAGAGGTGCTGAGGGAGGCAAACAGACACATGGGGTCTCAGGGAAGACAGACACAGAGGGGCTGGGAGGGAGACAAACTGGCACAGAGGGGCTGGGGGGGGAGACAGACACAGAAGGGGGAGAGAATGGGCAGAAGAGACAGACCGGGATTTGAGGTACACAACAAGACACAGAGGGGTTGGGGAAGGGGCAAAAGAAACAGACAGGGACAAGGGAAGCGATAAAAGAGACAGACATGGTCTGAGAGGAGACACCCGGAGAGGCTGGGGAGACACAAAGAGACACAGAGGGGCTTGGGGAAGACAAAGACAAGGTGTTAGGGGAAAGAGATACACAGAGGGATTGGGAAAGGGAGAAATAGATTCAGAAAAAGGGGCTAGGGAGAAAGAGCCACACAGGGGGCTGGGGGAGAAAGAGACAGTGGTGCTGAAGGGGACAAAAAGACACAGAGGGGCTGGGGAACGGGCAAAGAGACATACATAGGCTGGGGGAGACAAAGATAAAGAGGGGAAGATATTTTGAAAACATTGATTTCAAACATGAATCTGGAGTGCGATAAACTGTTTGCTGTAATACATCCCATTAACAGTAAGAAAACCTGAAAAATATATTCAGACTTGTGCTGCTTAATAAACTAATTTTTATAATATGGTTTATTTGTAAACTAGTTTAATCATTAATTATAATTTTACTTGTAAAGTGATGCACTAAAAATCTATCTGCGGGCCAAAGAAGTTTAATTTTCTTAATTTTGGCCCCTACCAACTGCCAAGTTGTGCAGGTCTGAACTATACCCTATCCTCCCCCCATATAGTGCAGCCTGTAGACTATTTTTTAATTTTCATATTGAGTTTCCATTATTTAATCCACCTCCTGTTAATGAAAAAGATAAATATTGGTTTTATTTTACTCAGGTAGCAACATATTTTTTTTATTTTTGCATTTATTAATAAAGTAAATTAGAAAAAGTTTAACATAAACCAAATTATGTTTTATATTTCTACATAGTTTTGGTGATATAATCTAGTTAGCATAATTACTTTACACATTGTTTTGTGCTCCCCAAAAGAATACGCATTATATCCTATTCCATTGCATATTATTTAGAGCACATATTCATCACAAATAAATACAAGGTAAAATTCAAGAATCTAAAAATATCTAGGAAAAAAAAGTGAATTAATTGAGAAATATTTTTCATGTTTCTGTTTGAAGCTCCCTTGGCAACACAGAATGTAGATAACCACAATAAATAAATAAATACATACATACTTTATTCCCATTTGGTTTTGAGGGTATTTTTTTTACTTCTGTTGATCCTTAGAAAGGTTTTCTTTTTCATTGCTATTCCAGCTTTTAAATTATTCTTCACGATTTGCTTGGTAGTCATTAATTTTTCTGGACTTGAATTTATAGTTCTAGAAAACCTTTGACATCTACAAATATTCTATTTCAGATTTCTTTGACGTATAAGAATTATCTTTTGACTTAATATTTTAATTCTGCTAGAAAGTGATTTCAATTGCCTGCACGCATGGTAAGGAAAAAGAGCTATTTGATGATTTAAAGATCTAGACACGGGTATCTTAAACTGTTTTCATTGCATGGATTTTCATAATAGTTTAACCGTTGACAAGCTTTATGCCATGTTTGCGTAATCCTTATTGTTATATTTGGTAGAACAACATTCTTAAGTCATTATTCAAGAAGCACAATTTATTTATGTCAAGATCCAGAAAATTAGCATATATTTTACATAGTGTTCTTATGATTCCTGACTATTCTTAGCTTTGTCCTTTCTACAAATATACATCTTTCTCTCTTAGACATTCCAATGAATGAAGGTGTCTGCTGCAACAAGAGCAATGCGTGCTGCATGCCAGGTAGGCAGAAATCACCTAAAGCAAGGGCAGGGAATGGTTGGCAAAATCGTAAATTCCCTCTAGAGTTGCCCTAGTTTGGAGAATGAAGGCTTTCAGCTCATTGATACATTTTTTTACCTTGTTAATACACCAGTGGTCATATGAAGGAGAAGATACTGTGAGATTACAATGGTATTTCTTTTTAATAGTGTTTTGATCATTTTAGTGAAAGATTAGCTTTTAGCAGGACTGATCAAACTGCATTGCTCTGAAACCTTTATGCAAATTGTGTTTTTAAGACTCTTTTTAGGGGACATTTAACTGATTGGTGCTCTAGACTGAACGTTGTGGCACTTCCAGTGGGAGAAGGGTTCTTTCTGTTCTATATATTCTGCCATAAGACTCTATCTTTGACTCAAGGGAAATAAAGTGTAAATAAGTTTATATTAATATCCATCAAATCTAGTAACACTAATGAGCTAAGACCTTCAGGCAAAAATTATTACAACAAAGCGAATCTATGAATTATCATAAGTATTTCAGTTTTTATATAGTGGACGTGAGAACCTATTTCATGAAATACCTATAAAA